GCTAATTCTATTTTTTTTGTAGAGATGGGGACTCATTTGTTCTTGCTTTTTGGCTGGTCTTGAACCTCTGGCTTGAAGCAATCCTCCCGTCTTGGCCTTACTAAAGTCCTTCCAAAGTGTTAGGATTATAGGCATGAACCACTGCGCCCAGCCTCTTAATTCTTCTGGATTTTAACATTTAAGTTAATGTAACCTTTCATAAAAGTAACAACATGATATCTTCAAAAGTTGCTTTCAACTGATTTTTCCAGTTGGATATACTATAAAAAGTAACAAAGATACATAGCTTAGGGGACCAGTTAATATCTTACCTTAAAAAAAAAATCTTACCTTTGATTTAGTTGAACATGTCCTTATAACTCCTTCTCTATTAAGAAGTAATGTGATGTGACATTAATAAATAATTGAAATATATTTGATTGCTTTTAATAACTATAAATTTAAGAGCAGTTTTTAATGCCTAATTGTTCAAGCATTCTCTTCTCTATTTAATAGATATTTATTGACATATGGATTGTGAGGTCAGGAGTCTGTCAGTCTTTGTTCATTACTGTATCACTGGTGTCTAGCATAGTGCCTGGCAAAGGCTACATGCTTGCTTGATGTTTTTTGAATAACTAAATGAACACATGAATGAAGGAACGCCTACTTTTGTTTGAGTTATAAGAGATCATAAGAAATTTGACCATTTTTGATTATAAAAGCAATGTTGTATGGTTCATTCTTAACATAAATCAAGTGTTGGAGGTAATAATGATCTAGAATGATTTTATACCCTCCCTCTCAGAGATAGTGTTAGTCCATTTACAGAAGTTAAAGCTGTAAGCTCCAAAGTCAGACTGGGTCTGGGGTCACAGCCAGCCTTGTCCCTTCATTTCTGAGCTGTGTGTGATCATGGGCAGGTTACTGCCTCTGTGTTTTCCATAAAGATGAGATGACAATTTACTTTATAGAGCTAATGTGGATGTCAAGGTATTACAGCTGAAATGCTCTACACATTCCATGCATTTTAGGTATTGTTTCTAATATTTATATTATGGAAAATTTGGTATGTGCCAAGTACTGGGGTGTAGTCTGTGCTTTCTGTGAGTTGGCAGCTAATGAGGAAGATAAAAGGTGCAGTATGATCGTTAAGTTCTCTGGAGGCATGAGTACTCTGAAAGCTGAGAAGCAGGATGCTGCACCCAGAATGGCAATCATGGAAAGCTTCCTGGAGAGGGCCGTCTCTGAGCTGAGAGCTGAAGAGCAAGTAGGACTCAGACAGGAGTAAATGGGGGAGAGAGAGGGATGGCGACAGTGTTGAGAGGTAAAGAAAGTAGCACATGCAGAGGCCTCTGTATGAGAGAATGTTACATCTTCCCTTCAGTGAGTAGCTTGGTTTGAGAGTAAGAGGAGCATGGAAGAGAACACATGATGCACATGGAGAAGTAGGCTGGAGTCAGGTCTGGAAGGGCCTGTTCAAGAGCCAGCAGGGTTGGCCTCAGATTTGTGCTTGAGAGAGATCATTCAGAAGAGGAGACAATTGATTGTGTTGGGACAGGATGAGATAGAGGAGACAGTTAAGAGGCTGGTGCAGTGAACTATGGGAGAGATGGCTGTCTGGATGCCAGTGGAACCAGAACCTTGGAAAATTCCACGTTTAGGAGGGACTGAAGACCTGTTACTTGCCACTTGCCAAGGGCTTTGTTAAGAATGTTATAAATTCTAAATTGTGCAAGTACATTATAAATTCTACAGTTGTTGAAGTTGCAATGAAAGGTTTAGGGTAGGCGTCCTCAAACTATGGTTTGTGGGCCACATGCAGCCTGCTGAGGACATTTATCCAGCCTGCTGGGTGTTTTTGCTGCCGCTGCCTGTCCAGCTTAGCAGCCAGCTAGTCCCGGGCCCACAGTGCGCATGTGTGGAATGTGCGCCGCACTCTCCAATGGCCCTCCAATGGTCTGAGGGACAGTGAACTGGCCCCCTGTTTAAAAAGTTTGAGGACCCCTGGTTTAGGGAATAGGCTACAAAACAGAAAACAACCCACATTTAGTCTTATTTCAGAATCCCTTTTATTGCCTCTACAGATTACTATAGACTGTTCTTTGGCATTCTGTGAGTAATATTGCATTGTTTTCATTTGTGACTAAAATCTTTCAAAGACGTTGGTTAAAACAGTGGTCCCCAGCCTTTTTGGTACAAGGGACTGGTTTCATGGAAGACAATTTTTTCACAGACTGGGGGTGGGGGTTGGAGGATGTGGTGTGGAGCTCAGGTGGTGATGTGCTGCCCATTTCCTAACAGGTCACAGACTGGTAATGGGCTGTAGCCTGGGGCTTGGGGACTACATAAAAGTAGTGCTGGTCCTCTAGGAGCCTCAGGACCTAGAAGTCAGCAAAGAGTCAAATACCTGGAAACAAAACAGTCAACAAAATCACTCAGCTGAGGGAATGCTATTTTCATGGGGTTTTTTTTCTTTTTCTTTTCATACCTAACAAGGATAATGAGGGGAGCCTCCTTTGTTCTCATAACCCTTGAGACTATACTGTGTTGTAAGATGTTACACCACTCCTGGTAGATGAGGCAGACCAGGGCTATTCATTCAACAAATATTTATTGAGCCCCCCACTAGGAATGAGGCGTAAGGCAGTGGATAAAGCAGATACTGTCTCTGCTGTCGTGGAGCCTACATTCTAGATAATGAGATAAAATAGAATGTTGTATTGTCTTGATGAAAATGGTAAAAATATTTTTTTTCTGTTACAAGTCCTTTTTAGACTAGGTGGTAGAAGAGAAAAAATATGTATTTTTATATTCACATATCTTTCTTGTTTCCTATATTATATGAGAGTATAGAAATATTATAAGGATTACATGAATTAAAATATGAAAAGTACTTAAGACATAGTAAATTTAATTTATGCCAGCTATTGTTATATTTTGTGATCCTTGACTTATTTTGCCATTCTTTCTTACTGATTCATGTCAATAACTACCTCTAGATTATCTCTAAAATCCTATGTACAGTCTCCATCTAGTAGCCCCATCATTGCATTGCCCAGACTATAGCAGCAGTCTCCTACTGGTCTCTCTGTATTCTTCCACCTTTTACCTTGTCCATTCTCCACCTTGTAGCCAGAGTAAAATTTATGCTTTTGTATTAGTTTCCTATAACTGTTAAAAAAAATTAATATAAACTAGCTTAAAACCACATATTGTTATCTTGACAATTTTAGAGGACCAAGTCTGAATTTAATTTCACTGGGCTATAATCAAGGTGTTACAGGGCTGTATTCATTCCTTCTGGAGGATCAGGATGGGAGGTTTCCTTGCCTTTCTCCAAATTCTAGAAGCCGTGCACATTCCTGGGCTTGAGTTCCTTCACGACTCTGACGTTTGCATCTGTCATCACATCTTCTCCATGGACCCTTCTGCCTCCTCCTTTCATTTATAACGACTGTTTTGATTACACTGGACCCACCTAGATAATCTAGGATAATCTCCCCATCTCAAAATACTTCATTTAGTCACATCTGCAGAAATCCCTTTTGCCATGTAAGGTAACATGGCAAAAGCCCCTTGGCTTTCTTACCTGACATGCACTGCTTGGTCTCAGTGCAAACTCCCCTCCTTTGGGGAGCACCCTCTCTGCCTTGTCCATACTGGTCAGCTACTCATTATACATGCTGTCCTGGACCCTTGACTTCTCCTTCATTGCATTTGATCACAGTTTGCAATTGTTGATTGCTATTTTTATTTACTTTATGTCTGACGGTAAGCTCTGTGAGGGCAGTGATTGTCTATTTCTATTGTGTCCTCAATGCTGATCATTTATTCGGTGCTCAATAAATATTTATTAAAGGAATAGACAAAATGAAAAGGCAGTGCACCTATAAAGTAGCTCTTGGTTTTGTTCACTAGTATATTATTGTTATAGCTACAGACAGAATAGAGTTTGGGGTTACAAGAAGGATTTGTTCAATGACAGAAGGTAGACTGTTAATAACTAAGTGAAACAATACAATGTTAATTTTCATTTCTCAGTGAAAAAGTAGGAAGTAATTTTTATTCAGTAATTTTAAGGCCCTTTTATATCTTTAAAATGTTTTCAAGACTTAACTGTTCTAACATGAACATATAGAATCTCATAGGTTAAGAATTTCATTAAAAATTAAGTGACTTTATTCAGAGTTGATATCAAGGATCAAAAGATAATTTTCCTGGTTGGCGCCTGTTGGCTGTGGAACAGTGAATCTACATTGATACTTGTCTCCGTTAGCACTAATGTTCAAGAGAAATCTGCCAGACTTTAATGCAGTAGCCACTTGATAGTGTGGGGCACTTGTAGTTCAAAATGTCAGCAGGTCCTTCTTGAAGAAAATGTCTTATAACAGGAAAAAACATTGCTTTATGTTTTGTATATGACTCAATAGAACAGTTCCTTTACTACTTCATTCAATTGTAAGCTTTTCCATTTTACTTAAACCTCATTTCTACAAACTTAATTATTATGATTTCCCCATTTAAGCTATGCATTTCACCTTGAGGTAGGCAAGGCTTGTGTTAGATAAGTTTTCAGCTTTGGTAGTATTTAAATGGTTGGCTGCCAGCTCAGGGAAGTTCTTGAAAGAGACAGACAACTTTTGGAACTCAAAAATGCTTTGAATTACAGTTATCTCATTGAGGAAAAGTATTTGAAAAAGTTTAAAAGCATATTCTTATTATAGTCTGTTTTTTCATAAAATCTCATATTCTAATTGTTCAAATTTAATTTAAGTAAAAAACTGACATCTGATAAATTTTCTGTATAATATAAAACACCATCTATAACTTTAGTGTGAATTGCTCATTGTTTTTCATCAACCTCTTTACTGATCTAATAAAAATGGGTAAAACTGACTTATTAACTTTTAGTTTCTAATCTCCCTATGTAAATATACTAATACTAGTAATTCAATTTTCTGTTATTAGCTTTGTCTAAGAACAAATTCATATGAAATGTACACATACTTTCCTTTTAGAGTATGTTGGATAAAGGACATTGTTGTGGCAGTAACTGGAGAGAACATCGAAGCAATGAACAGTATCATTCAGAAGTACCATCATGAGCGCATCTCAGTAGTTGAAGCTGGAGTAACCCGCCACAGGTCAATTTTCAATGGACTAAAAGCACTGGCAGAGGATCAGCCCGACTCAAAGCTGTGTAAGCCGGAAGTTGTGATTATCCATGATGCTGTCAGACCATTTGTTGAGGAAGATGTCCTTCTCAAAGTTGTCATAGCTGCTAAGGAACATGGGGTAAGTATTTTTACTTCTGAAACTAGATAAAGGGGGCAAACACTATAATGTGGCTCATTTGCTGAATTTTGATAGAGTTGTATTTAAATGTCAAATTACTTAAAGTGGACACGAACTAAAGATGTTGTGGGCCGGGCGCGGTGGCTCATGCCTGTGATCCTAGCACTCTGGGAGGCCAAGGCGGGTGAATCGTTTGTGCTCAGGATTTTGAGACCAGCCTGAGCAAGAGCAAGACCCTGTCTCTACTAAAAATAGAAAGAAATTAGCTGGACAACTAAAAATATATAGAAAAAATTAGCTGGGCATGGTGGCACCTGCCTGTAGGTCCAGCTACTCGAGAGGCTGAGGCAGGAGGATCACTTGAGCCCAGGAGTTTGAGGTTGCTGTGAGCTAGGCTGATGCCATGGCACTCTAGCCAGGTCTCAAAAAAAATGTTGTGATAATTCATTTTAGGACTTATAGTTTTAATATTATAGATTATGAGACTATTCTGGAAATTATCTTTTGTGACAGTCATTTTTCATCATGATGTAACAGCCATTTGAAGAAGAATACAGTAATAATGGCATTATGGTATAGATACCAGTGAAAGATTAATGAAAATTAAATATGCAGTTATATGAAAAGGCCTGAGAAATTTCTCAAAAGCATAGGATATATAATGAATAAATCTTGCTCATTGTACTCAATTTTGTGTTTTAAGTGTTCAGAAGTGGTTTATTTTCTAGCACAAATAGCCACACAAGACATTCACACCCCTTACGGTGAATCATCTTGAGATTATAGAGAATTGTTTCCATGTCTGTTTCACCAAAATAAGCTATAGGATAGCAAAAGACTTATTTTCATCTCTAGAATTATGTTTTTTTTTTATTACCAGATAGATTCTATAAATATAGTAGCAGATACTAAACTTAAGTTTGCAGTCTAACTTTGAAACTTAGAGAAAAAAATTTATTGCACAGAGATGGTATAATATAATAGAAATAGGCTCAAATCTCAATTTTTCAATTAGTGGTATAGTGTTTTTAGCTTTCTCCACCTCTTTGAGCCCATTTTCCTTACTTGTAAAAATACAGATGTTAATATTTGTAAGGTTCTTGGGATTGGAAATTATGTTATCTATTAGAGTGCTAAGTGCTTAAAAATGGTATTAAGATGAATTATAACATCTAAGTAGTAATTTCCTTCAAGGATTATAGACCAGTAGGAGAAGTAAAGCCTTCATAACCATCTGGGTACCCAGGAAGTTGAAAAACAAAAACAACAACTCTATTCAGGAAAGATAGTCTGACTTCTTTAATTATCCTTGTGTATTTAAATTGTCAGTCAGGAAGAAACTTTCCCTAATTTCTTCCCTTCCTCCTGCAACATGAGTTAATTTTATTTTAAATTGAAAACTGTGCAAGAATTCTATAGATAAAACATTTTGATTTATTTTTGAACATATCTTCTAAATGGTATTTGAGGTTGTGAAAATTGTGGACTGGGAACCATTAGTGACTACAAAACTTTCTCAGGGCTTTCTAGTGACTCCTTCAGTTGTGTTAGAGGCAATGTGAGGCTGAAATGTTCTGTAAATATCTATTGGGTCCGTTTGGTCTGTAGTGCAGATTAAGTCCAGTGTTTCTTTGTTGATTTTTCTGTCTGGATGATCTGTCCATTGTTGAAAGTGGACTATTTAGGTCTCCAGCGATTATTGTGTTGAAGTCAGTCTGTCTTTTGTTCTGATAATATTTGCTTTATTTATCTGGGTGCTCCACTGTTTGGGTGCATACATATTTAGAATTTTTATATCCTCTTGCTGAATGCTTTCTGGTGACTCGTTCAGTTGTGGTAGATAGAGGCAATGTGATAAGTTGCCAGAGGGTGGTCAGAAAGAATAAAGGAACAAAGGATTTGTAATTTTTAGGAATTTGAGAATTTTATACATTTGTAAAAGTTCCTAGGATGACTATATAATTTGGGTAGGTATAAATTCTAGTGCTTACTATATTATATACAAAATTGTTTGCCTGTGTTACCTGTTGAAAAATTGCCACTCAAGCTCACTATAGTAATCACATATTTGGGATTTTTTTGTTGTCTAGGATTATATTAGAAAGCACTTCTGAGAGATTGTCCATAAAGTGATTCTTTTGCTAGTAGATCTAAAAAAGGAAAGAGAGGCCTTTTATCTCACTCTAATGACTATGCTAAAAATATCATTTGTTTTACATGTGATTTAATAAAGCATACTAAGACATCTAGCAGTTATTTTTTATTGTTTGTGGGAATTTCTATTAGACTGTAATTAAATTTTTAATTAGAATATAATTTGTAATATTGAATCACGTTATGTATCTTAAAACAAATTTAAATTTTAATGAAATCTGTTGGACTTTCTGATTAGATTGAAGCTGGTTCAGACTAAAACTTTGCAACTTATTTATTTTGAAGTAAACTTCAGAAATTTAGCTTCTTCTAGAAAATTGCCTTGTTTTTGTTGGTGTTAAAGGATTTTTTTTTAAAAAAAGTTAATATCATGAGTTTCATATAGATATATATCCACATTCAGAATTTTCCTTAATTTATTAATGAGGAAACTACACAGATATTACAACTGGTTCAAAATTGAATCTAGAGAAACATGTATTTATATGGAGTAAAAAGGTAAGTGGAAATGAATTAAAAAACAAAGCTGGATTTTCTAAGGCAGGTCATTTGAACCTCCATTAGAATTCATTTGCATGTTTATAGGCAAGAATTTTTTTGCATTGCTATCAGTTATCTTTGAAAGTTGTAAAAGAGCTCAAAGTCTAGATTCAGCTAATCTTTAAGGGTCTGTTCTAAGCAGTAGTTCACCATTGCAGACACCCAGAAACCTTTTGTTTGTTCTCAATTTTCTTAGGACAATTAGGATAGTGTCCCAGTAGCCTCAGTTAAATCCAGGCACTACTTACTGCCAACTCTTTTACACTGTTCTGACTTGTAATCATAAAAACAAATGCAGTTAATTGAGACTTGCACTAGTAGTTGAACCTCAGTTGGTGGGAAGTATGGCATCTTTTTAACCTGTTATCAATAAATTGTAAAAGAATGATCTTGAGTCAAATGCTATCCTATGATGTGAAAATTCCATTGACTTTCCTTAGGGCCACTTCACAGGCTGTGGTTTCCAGGCATCCTTCTAGCTCATTCTCTTTTGTTCTCTTAAATAGTTTTCTATATACTCCTTAACTGATTCTCATTTTTCTTCTTAGCTCTTAGTTTTCAAGTTCTACCCAAAGGTCCCTTTCAGATATGTCATTTCCTGAACAAGTTAGACCGTGACTGTCTCTGGTGTATGTGTGTGGGAGGTGGATTATAGGATTATATATGTTAAAAATAACTGGTATTTTAACTAATACTCTATGTTAATAAAAAAACCACAAATTAGATATATTGCCTTGAGACTAAGATGTCCAAGGTTGGCATTAAAGTTGCCTGCATATAAGAGCTCAAGAGTGTCACCAGGACCTTGTTTCTCTCTCTTGTTTGTATGTATTATAGTCTCAGGATCTATAAGGAGGCAAGATGACTTCCAGAGGGCCAATAGCTAAATTCTTTCAGGATTATTTCTCCTTTACTGATGAGGGTGGTTTGTCTGGGTATAAAATTCTAAGTCTGCAATTGCTTTTATTTTCCTGTTTCTTTGACTGTCACTGTCTCCTGGCTTCTATGCTGCTTTTGAGAAGTCTACTAAGCAATATATTTATATTCCTTTGAAAATAATCTGCCTTTTCTGTCTGAATGCTTTAAAGACAATTTCTTTTTCAAAGGTATTATTTACTCTCTGATGTATCTAGATATGGAAATTTTCTCCCCTTGCTTTTGATTTATTGTTCTGTATGAATTTTGATCCGTTTTTGTTCTAGAAAATTCTGAATGATTATCTGAACATTGATTCTCTGTCTTATTTATTTCACTCTCATAACTGTTTCCCCTCTTCTAATGGATACTACATGTATGCCAGCCCTTGTTATCAGAGCCTGCATGTGTCCTCAGTTCTTTCATGTTTCTTTTTGTATGTTACATCCTAGGTAATTTCAGTTTCTATGTCATTCATTCTTTAGCTCTGTCTAATCTCTTTTTAAGGATTTTTAAAATCTTAATATTTTTCAATTCTTTGGAGTTCCATTTGGTCCTTCTTTACATATGATGAGTCTCCTGTTATTGATTTTTATATTGTCTTTATATCTGAACATAATATTTTATACACTATAGCTAATAGTACTTGGTAGTTCTCCAACTTTTCATTTTTATTCACTTTTGCTCATAATTTGTTTCTTCCTGTGTTTTATAATCTCTTCCTTGACCCACTGGCCATTCAGGAGCATATTGTTTAATTGCCATGTGTTTATATATTTTCCAGTGTCCCTCTTGTCATTAATTTCTAGTTTTATTCCATTGTAGATAGGGAAAGTACTTGGTATGATTCAGGTTTTTTTGAATTTAAGACTTGTTTTGTGGCCTAACATGTGGTCTATTGGGGGAATCATCTATGAACTGAGGAGAAGAAAATGTATTCTGCAGCTGTTGGCTGAGATGTTCTGTAAATATCTATTGGGTCCGTTTGGTCTGTAGTGCAGATTAAGTCTAGTGTTTCTTCGTTGATTTTCTGTCTGGATGATCTGTCCAATCCTGAAAGTGGACTATTTAGGTCTCCAGTGATTATTGTGTTGAAGTCAGTCTGTCTTTTGCTCTGATAATATTTGTTTTATATATCTGGGTGCTCCACTCTTGGATGCATATATATTTAGAATTGTTATATCCTCTTGCTGAATTGACCCTTTTATCATTATATAATGGCCTTCTTTGTCTTTCTTTACCATTTTAGTCTTTATCTGATAGAAGTTTAGCTACTCTTGCTCTCTTTTTAGTTTCCATTCACGTGAAATGTCTTTTTCCATCCCTTTGTTTCCAGTGTATGTGTGTCTTTTTAGGTGAAGTGTATTTCTTGCAGAAAATATATAGTTGGC